AATCTACAATCTGGAAATTGCGCCAAAATCCTATTTGTCACAAAAACAAGATGGAGTGTTTATTTTGGGGTCAGCGAACTTACTGGCGACACTAATTGTTGCAAAAAATCGAGATTAAGTTTATATCCACGTAAGACGACGGATAAACGACGATTCTTAAGACCGAAAGAAATTGTCATTCCACAAAGAAAATCTTAGTGTGGGACTACGATTGAAAGAAAAAAATAATGTGATTGTAAAAAAGTGTGATATAGGAAAATAAAGAAGAGACTCATGAATCATGATAGTCGTTTCCTTTACATTAAACTTTTCTGTTAATGTTAAGTATGATTTAAGCTATGTTTATCGATTTTTGTAAACTTAATGACGAAATCCTTAGTTCTAATGGTACTCTCTTTACTTCTCAACTTACATTTCTGAATGATGAAGTGTCGGAGACTAGAGCCATGCTTCGCCACGAATGGGCCGGCTCGACCGGAGTGACCGACGTGAAACAACGGTTGCGTTGTGTTTCATCGTGTGCGTGAGGCATAGATATAATAAAGAAGGTGTGAGGTTACCGAATTACATCCCCAATCTCCCCAAGCCCAGAATCCACAACAATCCTCGAATTCCTAATCCTCAAAAGGCTGGTAACGCACTTATAACACCTCTGGTGTTCCCGGTGTCCATGGGCGACGCCGATTGCTAAACATCAGGTGATCCGTCTGCTAGTTTACCGGCTTAGTCCATAAATAAAGAAATACTACATTAGACCATTTAATCAAACAGCTAGGTATTCGTCAGTATTTCAGGTTGCTAGTTGAATGGCTAATTAGGTTAGTTTGCTGAGACATATGTATATTATGCACATACACTTAACCAATTCATTTCAAAATATCATCTGAGCCAGACCTTATTGTATTATTATTACCTATTTACCTAGCGTAATCGTTACCACATTCTAATTCGTAATTCTATACACTATCGCTGTTTGACAAATAAGACAGTTATTAAACACATCACAACGAGAATCAAACAAAAACATAAACAAAAAACAGTTTATTGAATACATTGCATGCTCAGTTAGTGCGAATAAATAAACAAATAAATACTTAAGGCTAGGAATAAATACAATACAAACAAATATAGACTCAGTCAGACTTAACACGGGATCTAGATTTAGACTTCGTTAACCGTCTTAGCACAGAGTAACAAATCCAAAATATTAAGTAGATGTTAGAATCTGTGCTCACTATCATGTAAGTGGCTACTAACGCCACGATAATTCCAATTACATTGAACAGCAATTGTAGTGGGCGCCTCTGTGCTTTTTGGGTGTTTATCTTGCATGGACAGTCTTCCGGACATCCTAAAGCTTGTGGTTCTTGATTGTTTTTAGGACTTGGTTTAGTCTTTGGCGATAAGATTTGTTTCATTTGGGACTTTGGCATAAATTCTGTAATAATGGAAATATTTGATTAAATTAAAACATTTGATTTTATACATTCGAAAGTTTCGGAGATGGTAGGTTGTGAAAAATTTGTACCGAAACTAGTAATTTATAGAAATATATGTATATCACTAGAATTCCATTTGAAAGAGTGAAAGCAATGAGAAAATTAGATTACTTATAGTTTAAAATAAAATTATTATTTACTAGCTGACCCGGCAAACTTCGTACCGCCGAAAAGTTTTTTCTCACCTTTTAAACCTTCCCTAGACTTCCACGAACCTATCAAGACCAAAATTAGCCAGAACAGTTCAGCCGTTCTCGAGCTTTAGCGAGACTAACGAACAGAAATTCATTTTTATTTATATAGATAGATTAGAATACAGAATGTTCTGTAAAGAAATCTTTGTAATAGCTCAATTACTCAACTTAAAACAGGTGTTAAAGATTTATCAAAGGCATTAAGCAATTGAAATTGTTAAAATAAAGTCATTGCACTAATAATGATGTTTCTTGCAAACCCTAGACTTGTCAAACACTTTTCATATAATTATGTCATTACTTAGTTTAATAATTAACGTTTCCGTATTTTTTACATGGATATAAATAAAAAATAGTTAGTGTTCATATTTCAAATAAAATTGTGTTAAAATAAACTTTACTAAACACCCTAACAATAAGACGAAGACCTTTGTCCAGCAGTGGACGTCCCACTACTGAACAAAGGCCCCCTTCTTAGTGTTCCCGCTATTGATGAATAAATGAATGAATGAAACATAACATAACTTCAAGCCTTTTATCCCAGAAACCCCTTCGGGTTATAGGAACAGTACCTTTAGCAGGGGTACCACTGTACCAGGGGTAGGCAGAGGTGCTCATTACGGGACTTAATGCCACTGTACAATGTAACACCCACTTTTCACTAATTTACATTATGAGTGCCATGTAATAGGGGTTAAGCCTATTGCCATATACCGGGCATATTTCCCGACTCCATGCTACAACTGAGATTTTTTGAAAAAACCCAATTACACTTTGCCCGACCTGGGAATAGAATCCGAGGCCCCTTGCCCGGCAGTCGCACTTGCGACCACTCGGCTAACGAGGCAGTCAATGAATGAAACACTCTGCACATAAAATAACCTTTCCTTTGATTATGCCATTGATGCCATGAAACGATTTTTTTATGATCTCTAGTGTGTTGTGATAGTAGAGACAAGGTTTGTATAAAAGGTAGAATTAATATCGTTCTCTTTGAGCAAGCATGGTTATCAATGATCATAGCTTCTGTGTGTGAGAAGAGGCTTGTACCCAGCAGTGAGATAGTTTTGGGGTAATATTGTTAGTATTAAGTACACTTGATGTGTATAGAATTAGATGTTTAAACTTTTTTCGTTAATTGTCATTGTCAATTCTACAAACAGAAGTTAAATATAATTTTGAACCTACCTTCCACAGTTTGAGTTTGGGTGATGGTCGCCATTGCTGCAATCCGCAGTTTCCTGACTGAGAATGATATGAAAATTAAATTAATCTCCTAAATATAGGAGAAGTGGACCCAACCAAGGTTACTCGGGAAGTAGGAAGAACCTTCTGCAATGCTTCCTCGATGTTCAGTTTGTGTGGTCGTGCGGAACACGCTAAATTGATGGGCTGGCTTTACTTTCGTATTTTTTATCGAAAAAAATATATTGTTAAGGACTTGCTTCATTGGGTCGAGTCAGATTGTTGGACTTCTAAGAATTGTGATGTTTGTTCAGTATAAAGGTGCTTAAGTACAGATGCGAGACGCCAGCATATTATTTTTTCTTTCTTTTTTCTTACTTTAGGAATTTTGCTCTCTTTTTATATTTAATGCCGAAGTTTGACCACTATCTCACCTAAAGGATGATGCGGTCTACGATGGAGCACATCATCCCATAAGCAACCTATTCACTCGGGCCTTGAAGACACCCAGGATTCCAGTCCTAAGCACTGATGACTAATAATATCTAATATGTAAATAATTGTAATATCTAATATACTTCCGTATTTGTTGTTCTTTGCAATAACAAAGACACATTTACTAATAAAAAATATCAGACACCCTGATCGGGAACTATGTAGAAGCGGTTCACACAAATACTTCCCAATGTTCTACTGCGAGAATTGCCCCCGCAACATGTTGTTCAGTTGCAAATGAAGATATTATATTTATTGTAAGCAGTCACTGTGTAATAAGTGTAATTGTAGATAAAGGTACTGTTTTATATAAATCCTTAGTAACAAAATCATCTATTCACCTCTCTGTTATTGTTTTGAGGAAAAATTAGACTATCGTATTAGATAAAATTGTTGCATTAGGTACTTCGCCGACTTCTATCAAATACATTACATGAGTACAAATGCTTAAATAATAGATATTAACCTCGTTAGCTAATTTTATTTTATTTTCTTTTTTATTACTTACTACTCTGTTCTTCTTTCTAGTCGTCTAACCAGTAGCATTATAATATGTAATACCTTTAAAGGAGCAATATACCTTCAATATCAATGATCTCTGAAACGGCTCTAACGATTATCTTCAAATTATATGTCTAGCTGGTTCCGGGGCGATAAATTGATCTAGGAGACAATATTGTTTACTAGAAAAAACACCGAGTAAAGCTCGGTCATCCTCAACGGAACATCAACAGAACCACTCTGTCTTTAAGACGTCATATTACGCCACCAGGTACTTACTGTTTAGGAGCAAATTACATACATTACAT